TAATGTGAACAGATCTGTTGGTTTCAGAACTGTATTCTGTTAAAAATCAGTATTTTTTTTTTTACTGTTTTTAATTTCATCAAAAGCAAGTTCTCACTTTTGAATTGTACCTATATTTTTAGGTTAATTATTACAGCAACTTCTAATTTACAACGCTAGTTTAAATAAGAAAATGTCCACTTTTAAGCGTAAACCTTTAACTACCACTGTTCAGCAATTGTTTTAGTATTTAGGCTTTTTATGCACACTTCCATTAAACAGAGATTGTAATGACAGATTGACTGCAATAAGGTTAAAACCTGTTTATATAGGATTTTTGTAGAAATAAACCCTTTTTAATTGAAATTGGTTTTATAAAAATGCATTTGTTTTTAAGCTTTATTTTATTTTGAATAAACAGAGTTTAATAACTGTGTTTTATTCGTTTTTGGCTGGAAAAATGAGAAAAGAAATGTGTTCTTTGGTGAAAATGGCTCTGAGAGTGTAATACCTTAAATCAACCAGCAGATGTCACCGTTGCAAAGGATGACACGTCAGCCTTACTCACCTCTGAGTGACAGCAGCACCGTAGCAGCTGTCCAATGACGGAGCGTCTTACAGGAAATCCCGCCTTCCCAGCGTTCCTTCAGTATAAAAACGGCAGTCCGTTTTTAAAGTGCAAAAGTTACAAATGAAGCGCTTTTGAACCTAGAGAAACACGTATTGAATATACATTCACAGTTTTAAACATATAGTTTTAAAACACCGTGTTTCAAAAATCGACAAGCGTTAGCATCTCACTATGCTAGCGATAACAGCTTCTTTTAAGCTGACGGGTTTGGACCGGAAGTTCCGTGTTCAACCCAATATTTCGACCGACCTAGCGGCTCGGCTGTTAAACTGCACAAAACAGCGTTTGGACTCACCCCAAAATTCTCTGAAGATTATCAAACAACTGTTCGCAGTTTAATCGGCCGCTCAAGGCGCCGAAAACGACTTTTTCGCCGTTTAACGAGACGTACCGTTCGGTTTTCTTGTCCCGGAAGTGGTTGAAGCTAACTTTGTTAGCGTGTGTCACCCTCAAACTCGCCCCCGTATTTTGTTTATTAATTTATGAGTTCTTAAACTCATGAATGTTAGCGAAAATACGAAAATAAGATGTAAACTGAGTTCACAGATTAGATCTTATCGATGAAATAGCGTTTCGCTATTTATAAGAGCTGAGCTTATATTTTCCTTTTCAGGAAGTGACGTCATTACCTTTATAAACCGTGAAATGCTTAATTTTATCAGTTTAAATGTTAAAGACTTATTTTACGACCCGAAATGACAGAATAACAACAATCTGCAGCTTTTTGCTATAATTTGAACACCTCAGTCATAAAATGGTCTTATACAACATTTTCTTGCCAAACATGAGAAGGTAATATTTTTTATTTACTTCCTCAGAATGCACAGAGATATTTTTTCATGAGAAAGATATTTAAATAGAGTACGTGCCACCATTATGTAGGGATGAGTTATTCATGCAGATAACTTACCTTACATCTTCTCATAACAAAGTTATAAGAGTAAATTTTACCAAGGTTTCTTCTCATTACTCTAATATTTGTCTGTGCAAAGTGAAGTGACACAATTAGGGAACTCAGACTGGTTCAAGTTGATTCATAAAAGATTATGCAATCATTTATTTACACAATTGAACAATACTTATTATCTGTATCACCTTGACAC